CCGGGGGGGGGGGGGGGGGGTAGAGGTTAGTGCTTCCAGACGGCCACCTAACCGCCTTGTGTAGGGGATGGAGCGAAAATCGCAATGAAAAAAAACGTGTGTGAGTTTAACGCTACACTTGAACCGACACACGAAATGCCGCGAACCTGAAAGCCGACAAACTTGCGATAAAGTGAGAGTGAAACACAACAGACCGGCAGCACAGGACTAGCGTGGACGCTCGAGTCGCCGTGCCAAAATAGGGACAGCAGTGCCGCAGTCGACAACACCGACCAGAGCGCGAAGCAAGTCCCTAGATGTTACACGAACACAGCAGCAGCAGCAGAAGCATGATTGGTGGGAGTGTCATTAACGACACAGTTCTTCCAATCCAGTCTGCCCAAACACGCCCCTAAACGTTACTCGACACAGCAGCAGCAGCAGCAGCAGCAGCAGCATGGAGTATGATGAACGACAATGTTCCTTCCAATCCAGTCTGCCCAACAAAAAACACACACACAAAAACAGAAAAACTGAGGTGAGATCCCTCACCTGGCCCTTTCCTCCAGCCCACCCCGCGAGACCACAAAAAAAAAAAAACGTGGGCTAAAATAGACTCAAAGTGAGCCCAGTATCCAGCCGGTTTCTCTCCCACGCACTGTAATGTAATGACTTCAACACATGCCCCTCGACTGTGGTTATATCGCTATGTCTACAACGGATAGTCTTTCTCTGATATGTGTGCATGTTTCCTAAGACATCTCGAACGGGTACACATTCTCTTTGATTGTAACTACATTGCCTAAAATATATCGAACGGGTGGTCCTTCCGAGGCTGTACACATATTTTCTTACAAAAGCAGTTACAATACAATAGGGGGGGGGGGGGGGGTACTCTTATGTTTTGCATGCCTTAGCGGTTAAACCATTGACCACCCGTCCCCGAAAGGACGGAGCATTGTTCCCACAGGACCGATCACCGATTGGCCAATCGTTCCTTCCTACTTTGCCAAAAGTGGCTCAAAAATGTCTTCCCTAGTCTGTCTTATCCTAACGATATCCCTTCCCGCCTTTTCAAACCACTTCCTACTCCCCAGTACAGCTACCGTCCTCTCCTCTCTATTCCATAGGGGAGACGGAAAAAATCGATACACCGTAGACGGGTACATGCAAGTGCAGGTTCCATGAGACGGTGTATGTAGCTCTCTCGTAAACCAAGAAGGAAAGGCAGGTATATCATCCACGGTGGAAAACCTGATCGTATTATTTCCTCATTTGGAACCCCTAGACAAAAAAGAAAACGAAACCGTAATAATAGTGACCAATCTCACCTGGCACAGGTGCAGGCGTAGGCTACCTCCGCCCCCGTCGACCGCCTCGAGATGCTTGGCTGGGACGTAGAACGTGAACGCCAGACTGGACGGGCTTGAGGAACCACCGGACGACGCCTCTCCCTGCGTCCCCACGGTGGTCGAACTCCCTCCGGTACCGCCTAGGTCTGCGGCGGTCGGTCATGGCGGTCGGGGGATTGTGGTGGGAAAAAAAAGAGCCAAAGCTTGGTATCTAGAGGGGTAGTGGCGATACGGGACCATCAGGATACGTGCTCAGAACTTGTAGATCTCGACCGATGCAAAGTGTGTTGGCTGAACGCAGACGGGAGGACGAGTACTACCTGACTACCACTACTATAGGGTACAGTCACTCAAAAGGGCACAGCAGCAGCATCATCACCAACAACGACAATAGCGACCACAACGAGACAGTTCTGAAGCAACTGGGTACACTCGCTCAAAAGCGCAGCAGCATCATTATCAACAACAACAACAACAGCGACTACAACGAGATATTACTCAAAAACGCCTCCACATCCCGTTGGCAAGCCCCTCTCACCATCAGTGATGTCGCTGACGACATCTAGCCGCGTAGCCCCGGACACCTGCACGGACATAGAGCCACACGCCGTTGCGAAAGACAGAGAGGAGGCCAGGGAAACAAATCGCACTTCCGATGTCGGCAGAGAGTAGCACCAGCTCCAGGACCGGAACCACCAACAACAACACCAACAATACCGACCAGTCACTTGCCCGATTTGAGGACTTTTTTTTGTTAAAAGTTGTAAAAATTAACAACATGCTCTAGTATATAATGAAAAGGGACCCAATGCCACGAACCGCTGATGCGAGTTGTCCGCGGAATAGGCTCTCCCCCCCCCTTCCCCCCCACCTGATGCTTGTCCCTCGGGGCGTTGTACGGACAGGCGTTCAGGTTAGCGTTCGCCCCCCACACCGGCTCCACGCTGCCGTACTCCGTGTTGGTGACGCCCACCACTCTCTCTGGTTCGCCGGGTCTGGCAAGACCGCCGCTACCGCTACCACCACCACCGCCGAGGGAGTCGTCGTCTGAGGTGCTGTTCGCGGACAGGGGGGGCCCGTAGACTACCTTCACGAAGAAGTTGGCCTGGGGGGGGGGGGGGGGGGGGGGGGGGGGAAAAAA